TAATTTGTTCGATAATTACTTTATAAAATTGATACTTTGCATATTTTTAAATTATTGTCATACTACAAGTCTGTACGAATAGCAAATATACGTGGTATTCATTATTATACAAACAAATACCAGGATTTCCTTTATATGTTTTCTTTCTAATCTTACCAAAGATTCTTCTCAAATTCGTCACGCCTTCATACAAAATATAGCATATCTTTAGAACGATATCGAATTACCGACACGAGATTTGCGTTGTAAAGCGATCAGCGTGATGATAAACGCTGGCCATGAGAAACGACATTTTAATTAAAGCCGTATGCTCGTGTTCGAATTTAATATTGTAAAAATGACCTCGACAATTATAAAAGTGTATAGTTTTGAACGTCGTGTGTATTGAATACTATAGCCTATAATGGTGTAACATGAAGAATCATCAGGTGGCGTTCGATAAACAATAACCGTATGAAGTATAGATCGCGGTGTAATCATTGTGAACTATATTTTCTCGGTGTTGTTATAACAGATAAATTGATCAAATTAAATGATGAGAAAATTGGAAACGGAGAATAAATGTCGGTTAAGTATTCGTACAAGACAGCTATCTGCTTTTATTTTCTTCGTGATTTCAAAATTACACCGGTGCAAAAGTGGAATCGTTATGTATGAATGACGCGTTCGAGTTCGGTGGTAGTATAACATTACGGCGTGTCCTACGTGGCGTCCGTTAAATACGTCCAATGCGTTCGATGCGATAATCCGTCGAAAAATAAAAAAAAATATATATAAATTTATACAACAGTCCAAAGTGTGCGGTAAATGCGATGATCCGTTAACGGACGGATCGGACGCAAATTTGAAAAACAAAATTATTTGTTTTTGCCGTATGCGATTGGTTAGGCGAAATATGCCTTTTCACTTTGCGTGTACTCCCCGGCTGTATTTAACGGACGCCACGTAGGACACGCCGTAACAGCCGGGGAGTATACGCCAAGTGAAAAGGCGTGTTTCGCCGACGGATCGAATGTGTAGGTAGTACAGGTTATAAGTGATTAACACAAATCCAAGAACAAAAAATCCAATAAATTTATATTTACTATTTACGTCCAGATATGATGTGTGTGTTTGTGTTTGTATGTGTAGGTACATAACACAACGATAACGCAGGAAACGCTATAAGTTTTCGACTAGGAAACGGAAACGTCGGGGCCCATACCATTAATTTATAAGTAATAATGTTTGCTAACGTATACAATTATTGTACGCAATAGGCGCCTACTGCGACAAATGCAAACTTGATCAAAATTGCTGTAAATAAATTTTCAAAATTGTGAAATCTTTTACTAAAAATGTATATTTTTCTTTGCGAATTTATTTTTCTTTAATTGGTTATTATTATTAAAGATAAAATTTTAGTAACGCAATCGTTATGATGAAAACTAAAAAGTAGGTGATAAAATTAAAATTTTTCTAAATACTGTGTAATTTTTAAAAACACATGTTGAGCGAAAGCATCTGTCCGTGCATTTCGAACAAACCGCGATCGGGGAGTTCCACGTCTCTCCAAAACGAAAATGGTTTGAGAATACGAATGAAAAAACTTGTAATAAGTATAATTTGTATAAGTTGAATCGACTTGTTAACCTGGGTAAAATCAAAAAACGAAAAATAAAAAACAAAAAAACTACATAACTAAAAGCCTCTACAGTCGTACGGTTTCATTAATCCGCACGAAACGACGACAACCCGTAGAATATAATCATTGATACGCTCAACGATTTTCTATTACCGTATCCCTCGGCACTTTTATATATATATACATACACAGGTAAATCGGTTTTACGCGAAAATCCTAAGACACTCTTGCGGTCAAAAGTTCGCGGACCCCAGTGTCACAGCGCGTACAGATGGCGCGGTCGGAACACGGGCGTGCGCAGCAGCCGATCACGGCAGCAGTGGCGAATTCGCACGATCCGACGTTGCCGGATTTGATTTTCGGACACGATTTCTCGGTCGTTCCGGGCTTTGGGGTTCGCCGCCGCATCTAATCAGCACACCCCTAATGTCGGCGGTGCAGCGGCGGCGTGTATTGATTTTGTACAGTCGGCGGCGGCCACTACGCCCGCGACCCGTGCCGCGCGTCTCGACGCCTCCGTTCGATATATACATTAAACGCCGCGCGCTTCCTCTCCGCCACCGAAACCACCGCCGCGTTACGTATCCAAACCATATTCGTACCGCCGTCGGGTTCTCCTGTTTTTATCGTACCCTCGCACGCGTTACCAACCTAAAAGCACGCGACCCCCGCGCCCCACAAGGACGACGACAGTGTCCGTCCCCCTAGGTATTATTGCACAATCGTCTTGACGTGGAGATATTGTTGTAACAATAATTGCATGTGCGAAAAGAAAAGAACATTTTTTAAAAAAAAATTTTACTCACAATTACGATCGGCCGATGGGTGTATGTTGCAAGAGATTTGCGTACGAAACGACGTCATAAATGTTTTTTTTTTATTGCAAATATTATTCAATACAATTATCATCAAGTTTGAATTTACATATGTATTTTTTTTAAAAAAAACCAACCCATATGGAGAATTAAGAGTGTTAAGACAATCAAGAAGAAAGTTATACATGGTGATTGAAAAACCGCTGTGGATTATTGAAATGGCATTCGATAAGCGGGAAGAGAGAATAAATTGAAAGTAGGATATTGCCGAACATTGCGTTTGACGAGAGATTAAAACATGAAATGTACGTAAAGGAGAAGACATTTAGTGCGACGATGTACATTTTACATGCGTGTGCCATCGACTTGTAGTGTATACTAGTTATTTCAAACATACGCCGAAATGAGAACAAATGTCTTACAAATTAACTGTGGTTCGTGAGATTCGCGGATGCACGAAAATATATCTTTACGAAATATATAAGTTGATTAAGTATAACTAACAGTTTTAATTTTCTTAGATAACTTCAATCGAAAATTAGATAATAAATAAATTATATTCGTAAAAATAGTAGTGCTATATTTAGGCTGTACTATTCAAATAAAACTAATTGGGACAGTATTATTATATTATATTATAATAATGTAAAAATAATTATATTTCTTTATGTAATAAATAACATTTACATACGACGTAAAGCTTTAATTAAAATAGGTTTTTGATCGAGAGTGTTTTCAGTGTAGTTTATTTTTCAGTATTGAATGTTTTAACACCATTTAGATTGCAAGTCTTAGATTTTTAGAATCAATGATTCGATATGATAATCTTGTAAACATGTATTATTCAAATAAACAATACTAAAATAAAGTCGAGTGTTTCGTTTTAATAAAACCGATGAAACTTATTTTTCTGTATATCTGCCTTCCTAATACCTTTAAAAACATATATAGATACATATAAATTTTAATCGATAAGCTGAGGAGAGTTTATATAGGAGTTTATACATATATATATATATATATATGGGAGAGTATATAGTATATAGTACATAGGTTAGAATTTGAAATTTTGAAATTATCATTTTTTTTTAACTTTCACACAAAATACTTTCTGAAGTTTTGAAGTATTTTATTTTTCCTGAACACCGATATATACAATATGATATCAGATGTGGACACTTACATCCATTATGCAGGTCATGTACACACACACACACACACACACACACATACACAGGTGAATGCGGCATTTTCAGCAAGTGCGCACCAGTTACGCCTGCGGCAGTTGGCAACAATGTAGGGTCGTCGAGGGCCTTTGTCGTAATGACATTTGGGCGAGGGCGTCTCTCACAGGGAGGAGGTGTTGCCTGTCTCGTCGCTGGCGTTAAGCTCAAAAGGGGCCAGTTTTGTATCGGTGCCGTACGCGGCAACACCGGCACATAAATGATGTGAATACGTGATTTATAATAAAATATAGTGTAAACCATATTCACACATTTACCTACTTATAAACAGTTGTTGTATTTAATATTATTTGTTAAATAAACAATAATCGTTAAGGCGAGCGCACGCACCGGGCGTGGGTGAAAATGGTCACCGAAACCGGACAAGTAAGATTATACTATATTTTTAAAGTTAACATTAGTATTTTACTAAAGTGCAGAAGATATAATACGAAAATTATTAATTACCAGTAAATGGTATTGAATTCTTAGGGGTTATGGTTTTTTTTATTTTTAGGAAAAACTTTAATTTTTACTTATTATACTTCGTCTATTATCATTATGTTATATTTTATAGATCAATTTACAAATACAAAACATCGAAATACATATAATATGAATTAAAAAAAAAACATTTGAAAAACTGACTTGCGTTAAATGTATTTTATGTAAGATCTTGTACCGAATGATTTGAATCTATTTTATCCATCATTGATTCTAATAGAAATACATGTTAGTATTATTCTAGTGAATGTGGTCATTTGCCACTGAATACTGATTACAATGAACAGAAAATGAACTTCGTTGTCTTCACCATTTCTAAATTATTTACCGAGTTAATGTTCGTAATAATTTGTTTCTAAATATCAAACGTATTGTTTTAAGTACCTACAAGTTTAATGAATAACTAAAGAAAACAATGATACTTCTATTTACAAAAATATTTAAGTCCTAAAATGTTTTTGTATTGAATAAAATTATAAATCTATGTGGAATTTGCATAACATGTAGCAATAATCAATATGATAAGATAATGAAATGCGCAACTAATTATTAATATTTAAGTTGATTATAACACCAAACTGTAACTTTTATTATTATAATTTTGTTATTAAACACGAAACATTTGAAATCAATTAATTAATCAAATAATTTAGTATATTAAATGAAAAATGTCTTAGCAAAATATATGTTTAATATTTTAAAATATAAATATACTCGTATAACTACGTTGAGCTATGTTCATAAAAAATACGATTAATCCATTAAAATAAAAAATATTACTAGTTAAACATAACATAATAATTATGATATATAATTGCATATATCATTTTACAGGCGGAGGGGAGTACCTCTTCGTTTTTAAGAGCGGCTCGATCCGGAAATCTCGATAAAGTAATCGAACATTTAAAAAACAAAATCGATATAAATACATCAAACTCTGTAAGCATTAAAATTAATTTATACCGTTTGAATATTTTAAATTTTTTTTTAATCACTGCCTAATTATTTCATGTCAGAATGGCTTAAACGCGTTGCACTTGGCTTCGAAGGATGGACACATTGAAATCGTCAAAGAGTTATTGAAAAGAGGTGCTAACGTAAATTCGGCCACTAAAAAAGGAAATACTGCTCTTCATATCGCTTCTCTCGGTATACAACATATGAAATGTTTTATTAGTATAATTATCGATTAACATACATAATGGATTTTCAGCTGGTCAACATGACGTAGTGGTTACTCTTGTGGAACATGGAGCGTTGGTAAATGTGCAAAGTCAAAATGGTTTCACCCCTTTATATATGGCTGCGCAAGAAAACCACGATAGAGTTGTTAAATACCTGTTAGCCAATGGCGCTAACCAAAATTTGGCAACTGAGGCATGCTAGATTGACGTGTGTGACGTGTAGACCTATAATATAATATTTTATATTTTGTTTTTTTTAGGATGGATTTACGCCATGCGCTGTTGCAATGCAACAAGGCCACGAGAAGGTAGTTACTGTACTACTAGAAAATGATACCAAAGGTAAAGTGCGTCTTCCTGCATTGCATATTGCAGCAAAAAAAGATGACTGTAAGGCTGCAGATTTACTCCTCCAAGTATGTACTATGTTATTTACATACTATATTTATAATGTACATGCATACTATATTTATCCAATATATTATCCTATACTATATATATTTAGATTATTTATATTCTATATATTTGTTTGAATCATAATGGAGGACAAAGAATAAAACTTCATCTTTTTTTTTTTTTTTTTTAGAACGATCATAATCCAGACGTAACATCTAAGAGTGGATTTACTCCATTGCACATTGCTTCTCATTATGGAAACGACGGTATTGCTAAACTTCTTCTTGCTAAAGGTGCAGATGTCAACTACTCTGCTAAAGTATGATATTCCACCGTACTAACTACGAATTAGATTTTTTTTACAAATAATTAATCATTTGGTCTTTTAACAGCATAATATAACTCCTTTACATGTGGCAGCGAAATGGGGCAAAAGTAACATGGTGTCTTTATTGCTCGAAAGCGGTGCAAATATCGAAGCTAAAACTAGAGATGGCTTAACGGCTTTACATTGTGCAGCAAGATCCGGACACGATCAAGTTATCGATATGCTATTACAAAGAAACGCTCCGATCAGTTCAAAGACTAAGGTTGGTCTGAGTTATAAGTTTGATATATTGTTTAACTTGAAAATTGCTATTATTTATATGCATAAAAAAGGCAATTGTAATTTACTTAAATGAATTTGAACAGAATAGAAAATTAATATTACGTTTTGTTTTTAGAATGGCCTAGCAGCATTACACATGGCGGCCCAAGGTGATCACGTAGAGGCAGCTAAAGTATTATTGACCAATAACGCTCCAGTGGATGACGTAACTGTAGATTACTTGACTGGTCTTCATGTAGCTGCCCACTGCGGACATATTCGCGTGGCTAAACTTTTACTGGAGAAACACGCGGATCCCGATGCTAGGGCTTTGAATGGATTTACACCGTTGCACATCGCGTGCAAAAAGAACCGCATTAAAGTAGTGGAGCTACTTCTTAAGTATAACGCAAGCTTAGAAGCTACCACTGAAGTGAGTAAAATAACGCTGGGTAGTACTTATACATTATTTAATATTTTAATATTTTTTTTTTTTTAGTCTGGACTCACTCCATTGCACGTCGCTAGTTTTATGGGCTGCATGAACATTGTAATATTCTTGTTACAACACGAAGCCAATCCAGACCTACCAACTGTTAGAGGAGAAACGCCATTGCATCTAGCTGCCAGAGCTAATCAAACGGACATCATTAGAATACTACTTCGTAATGGAGCTCAAGTTGATGCCAGAGCTAGGGTAAGTATTAATAATCTACAACATCGGTGGCGATTGCGTTGGTCGATTAAAAATATTGTTATGTGCAGGAGAAACAAACCCCTCTTCATATAGCCTCCAGATTGGGTAATGTGGACATCGTAATGTTGCTTTTGGCTCATGGCGCCGCAGTTGATTCGACCACAAAAGATTTATACACCGCCCTACATATTGCCTCTAAAGAAGGCCAGGAGGAGGTAAGAGCACTGATTATGAAACGCATTATGGATCACGTGGACACAACATATTTGCTTGATAAGTTTTGGTCTGTTAGAAGAGAATATTTTATTTAAAAAATTGAATATTGTGAGTCTTTCCTTATCCTTATATCAAATTTTATATCTACTTGAAATACATAATGTTACTCCTTGTTCAGACGTTCCTGAATTGACAAATATCTGGTGATAATTTTAATCGGTAAAATATTTTATCACCGACAGAAGTAATATGTTCAACATTTCTGACAAATCAATTATTACTTTTACAATAGTAATTATTTAAGTAATTATGTCTTAAACAAATTCTTAAATTATTTGAGTCTAAATCTGTAATTGAAAGTATGCTATTAGTATAATTATACTAAAGTAATTTTTATTTATAAATTCAAAAATAATAACGTATCCAAATTAAAAATTGGTGCCTATAATCAGTGCCGGATAACCCATTAAACGGAGGAGGTACCCGCCTTAGGGCCTCGCTCATTTAAAGGGCCCCGTGAAAACGGAAAACTATATTTTTTTTTCCTATTTAATAATATCTGTATTCTATTTATGAATTTACGGGACAAAAGTCATTATGAAATATAATATATATTAATTTGTAAGTGTTATATGCAGTAATAATAATTAAATTTTTTCGAAAAAAATAGAAATAATATAATAAGTAATTTTTCTTGCAAATATAAAAATTTAATAAACATGATTTTATTTATTAATAATAGTCGGTTATTTTTAAAGCTGTTAATTTTAATTATTGGATAGTAATGTTAAAGATGTACGTAAAAATTTATTTTGTAGGACCTAAGATTTTAATTGCCTAGGGGCCCACAAATGATTAATCCGGCACTGCCTATAATGATTAATTTCAAATGAATTTTACGTTCGTAAAAAACATGAATTAGGGTCTTTCTAAAATGTTGTCGATTGAATAATTTAAATACGACGTATCTAATTTCCAAGCAAAGTGCTCACTGCCATCATCTTTTCATCAAAATGTGTTCGTACTCTTCGTAAATAAAAATTAATAATTTAATTAAATTTTTTTTAATACCTTTGAATTCAAAAACAATACAAAATTAAGAAATATTGTGCCAAAATTGATAGCGTTTATTTAGTAAATTAAATTAAATTAATCAGTATTACTTCATTTGTTTTAAAGTAAATATTCAAGCCTAATCTATTATAACCTTCTTTTACATAATACGAAGGCTTGAAATTTAATACATTGTATAGATTATTCATTGCTATAATATTTTGATTTTAATCAAAATATACGTTAACATTTGATAAATTATTAATATTGCTATAATATTTTTTATTTCCGAATTACAATTTAAAAAAACTATTATACTTGGACAATTTGTTAACTATACTTACCTATATCCAATATCAAGTTCAAATTCAAAATTTTTTCACAAAAAGTCATTTATTAATAATTAAACAATATAATATGATTATATTTATAGATAGCAGATTTGCACTTTTAAAATATTGTTATACGGTTTAATTATTATTAATGTGAATGTTAGTATTTAGAAAATATAATAGTTTTAAAATTATAACTTTAAAATGTGCATTATACTAGATAATGATCATATATGATATATTTATAATATAGTACTGTTAGTTTTTTTTTTTAAGTTTCATAAAAGTTTACATGACATAAATGTTATATTATAGCATTATTTTGATCTCTTAATCGTTGTTAAAATTCAAAAGACATCTTTTTATAATAGTTTAATCACCGTTAAAAACAAAACTAGAATATGGATGTGAATATTTTATGCTTAATCATTGTCATTGTTGTTTACTTAAATTATTAAAAATTATAAAATTTATAAACACGTTTTTGTTCGCTTCGCCTATTTTTTTTACTTTTTTTTTTAAAGCCACTGCCAATAAAATGTATATTCCCTATTTTAAATTTCTTTTATCATCGAAAAGCAAGCAAGTTATTTGGTATTTGGTAAAATCAATATTCATTGATTAGGTAAGTCCAAAGATTTAGTTATTCTTACAAATATTTACCGTTTTCCCAACCATATCTAAAATCGGCTAAATAATATTAGCCTAACTTTTAATGTAATATAATTATAATTTATAATATAAAAATATATTTTGATTTATATTGATTTACTTGCTGTAAAATATTTATCATGGGCACAGGCTTTAGCTTCACAACACTGATGCAATGTATAAACATATTTAAAAGCTTGATCTTATTATTAGAAAAATAAACTATCTAACACTATTGACTACTTTTACAAGCTTGAATTTTGTAAACTATGACTATACACAAATTAATAAGTTGACAATGTGAAACACTGGACTTTTTTTGTTGGCAGGTTGCATCAGTGTTGTTGGAGAATGAAGCCTCAGTGACAGCAACTACTAAAAAAGGGTTTACCCCTCTTCATTTGGCATCAAAGTACGGAAACATTAAAGTCACTAAATTGCTGTTACAAAAACAAGCTCCAGTTGATGCTCAAGGAAAGGTATAGTAATATAGTAATAGTAATCATTATATTATTTTTTAAGAACAATTATTGAACTTTAAACATGTTAACATAATATTCATTCCTAACACATTTTGTTTAATACATTTAATTTAAAAAAAATATAAAAGTATATTATTGGAAATTGGATGATATCTAATGAGTTGTATAAACATACAATTTCATGCTAGGAAATATATTTATTTGTACTTAAACATTAAATTGCATTATTTAGTAGAGTTGAATAAGTATTGTTTTTTGGTATTAAGTCGAGTCAAGTTCAAAATTCGAGTATTCGAAAAATGCTGAGTACTTGAGAAAAAACTCGAGTACTCAACAATTTGAACTGTTAAATACAAGAAAAGCTGAGTATTTGAAAAATGTCAAGTGCTTGAAAAAAAAGTCGTTGTTATCAATATGTATAAAATTTCGTTATCATGATAAAATATCAAAGTAATAGCTCTATTGTTATTAATTAAAACCATCATCCTTCTTACTATTTTCTATCGTAAATACTTAAATCCTAGTTATTTATAATTTTTCAATAAAGTAGTGAAATAAACTACTTGAATATTTGATTCAAATCGAGTACTCGATTAAATTCGAGTAAAATCAAGTACAAAAAATTGTTTGTTAAGTCAAGTCTAACTTGAATTCGACTCAGAAAATTTTACCAAGTACTCGTCCAACTCTACTTAGTAACGACATTGATGCAAGGTTTTATTGCGATTATAATTTTTAAAATATTTAATCGATAATATATATTAAAAAATTTGAAAACATAGTACAATAATTTAATATATATTTAAAATATTTAAATATTAAATACATAAAAGATTTGATATCTTTGTATTTTAAAGAGATAATAAAAAACGATAACCTTTTTTTAAAAGAAATGGCTGAGTTATTTTAGTACAGAATAGTAAATTTCAAAAAATATAAATCAAAACATAATTTCAATACTATTCATAATAGTCAACAATTTCAGTTAACAAAGATATTTATTCAATTATTTAAAAAATAAAAATAATTTACCATTATTTTGAATAATAAACACAAATTATTAAAATTTAAGTTATGTTGTGAAGTTTATATTTTTTATTGATGTAATAAATAATAATTAATAATTAAAATATATTTTTCCAAAAAAGGTTTTTTTTTAAAAAATATCGAAATATGTGATAAGAATTCAATGAAAGTTAAAAAAATACTTTTAGAAACTATTTTAGCTTTATGAAATCGTAAACAACTATGTTCTATTAAAATTTTAAATTATTTTACTTAAATCAAGTGTTAGCCTTGTGTTTCTTTTCAATATCGAGAATATTAAGGTTCACATTTGATTTCTAGAAAAATAAATTATCCCATAATAGATATATATAATTTAATGCCTGTGAAATATTAAATATTATGTTTTTTAAAATTCTATTCTAAAAAAAAATAATTTATCTAAATTTAATTTAATAAATTACCTTTGCGTTAAAATAATACTCGTAAGTTATACATAGTATTATAAATATACTAGGACATTTAATTAATTACAAATAGTAAAAATTACATTTGAGAATTCAATGGCTCAAAAATTTTCGGTAAACTATGCATAGACAATAAAAATTTAAATAAATTCAAAGTATAATACATTTTTATTTTATTTAAACTTTTTTTATAGTTTAGAAATATTTTGATGAACATAACCGATTTTAAAAGTTCTTACCAGGGGGGATTGGCAATTTTATTTTCATAAAGATGCAAAATTATTTAATGCCCATGTTTTAGATTAACGAACTATAAATATAATAAGATAACAAATAACTATTAGTGTATTTACGACTTACTTATAAATTATCATGCCTATATAATTTGTTCAATTACTTTTATTTTTGTCAAAATTAACGCAACATGAAAAGGGGCCAAAATGATAATTAATATCCGGAGTATAAAAAATTTAAGCACAATACTTATTAGTTAAATAATAAGGTTTGAAACATAAATACGAAAAAGTTCCTGGGGTGTCACTAACTTAAGAACCCATCAGTTCATTCATACTACTAACTACAATTATCAAAAAAATGTATTTCTATCATTGATACACAAAATTCTATAAATAAAAACAATTTAGTAAGAAATATATTGTACACGTATAAAAATTGATTAGTTTATCACTTTGTTCAACTTTGTTCGCCGTTTTGTTTCATACAGAACGGTGTAACACCATTACACGTAGCAAGTCATTATGATAATCAAGCTGTTGCATTGATGTTGCTTGATAAGCAAGCATCGCCTCATGCCACAGCAAAGAATGGTCATACTCCTCTTCATATAGCAGCGAAAAAGAATCAGGTAATTATTTACTTATAAATATTTATTATTTTTACTTGAAATCAAAATTATCATAGGATATTACATTTTAAGTAAGGTTGTGTAACTAATTTTTTTTATACATAGTTAGTAAAAATTTTTGGTAACTAAAAGAGTCGAGACATATTCATAGATTCCTCACAGCTTCTTATTACATTTTAATTATATTTATTACATTTAATTTATGCATTTCATCTATACACTGTTAATTTTTTGTCGATATATTATAAAAATTTAAAAAAAAATCAAATTATATAATATTTTAAAATATTAGAACACGAAATTTTAATTGGTGATTAATAAGTTATGACACTTAGTTATTCCGTTTTTTTTAAGCTATCGTTTGACTTCCTTAACTAACTTTTTTCGTACTCAATTAATAAGATAAGTTTTTAAAAGTATTTGAAGTTCGTGGAAAAATCTATAACGAAATCATTATCTACATTTGGCGTACAATTAATCTTTAGCTTTGTAGTATAATTAATTGATTTATAGGATTCAATTATTTTTTAAGTTATTTTGCTGTTTTATAACAAGTATATAATTATAATAAATTTATAACTACAAAAAAAAAAAAAAAAAATTACAGTTAGGCAAATGGAAACACTATTTTTCAGTAAATACTAAATTTAAATGCGTAAATTAAAAAATAAGTATTTATTTTAGATGGACATAGCAGTTACATTATTAGATTATGGAGCAAAAGCAAATGCTGAATCAAAAGCAGGATTTACTCCTCTTCATCTCAGTTCTCAAGAAGGTAATGTCGAGATGACAACATTACTTTTGAACCACAATGCTGATCCTAATTATAAATCCAAGGTAATGTTACACAAAATAAAATATATAAAAAAATTTTAATTTACTATTTTGTTAAATTTATTGTACAGAACGGTTTAACACCAATGCACCTTTGTGCCCAAGAAGACAAACATAAAGTAGCTGCTGTGCTCGACAATTATCACGCAGACATCAATCCAGAAACGAAGGTAATATATTTAGTATATAAAGGTGTAACACACATAGTTGATGTATTAGAATAATAAAATCAAACATTTATGGAAGTAAATTTTTGAAATTTTCGATAGCTTAAATTCTTGTCTATTTCAATCAAAGCCAAGAATATTATTTTTCTTATGTACTCAGATATTATTATTTTGAGTTTCAATAAATATATATATATATATTATAAAATATGTATTGATTTGCATATATGTTTACATAAGGCTGGATTTACTCCATTGCACATCGCGTGCCATTTCGGTCAGTTAAACATGGTTCGTTTCATAACCGCTCGCCAAGGAATCAAAATCAATGCGACCACAGCTTCTGGATACACACCGCTTCATCAAGCAGCTCAGCAAGGTCATTCGACTATTGTAAGCCATTTATTGGATAAAGAAGCTGATCCGAATATATTGACTAATGTAAGTGAACAATTTTTAATACATATACCTGCCTATAAGAGGATTCTTTATTTGGTCTACACTATTTGTCTGCGTCATGCTTTTAAAGTTGTTTCAAAATTGTTTTAAAAAAAACTGAACGCAATAGATACTATAGAAATTGAAAACAAACTAATGACAAAAAAAACTTTATATATATAGTCAAACTTCTATGATCTGGTAGTTCTTTGAAAAAAATTCATTCATTATAAATTTTGTTTAAAGAATTACACGGTTTTTTTAATTAAAACGTTTGTCTTCCCAAACATAACGATTAAAAATAATAATATATAATATGTTTTTTAATAACTTAAAACAATATTGTATATAATAATTATAATAATAGACATATTGAAGAATAATAAATAATAAAAATAACACATTAGTGTGGGTATATTGTAAAATATAAATGTATACAATAACTGGTAAAAATCAAAGAGAGTTAAGCAATAATTAGGGGCTAAGCAACATGGTGTATACTATGGGACATTCGACATTTAAAACATTCGATCACACGAGCAGGCGTAATATGTTTACATCAAAAGTCTACCTTTCCCTACTCCACCAAATTATATTTTGACTGATACCCATTTCCATCGAATCAATTTCTATATCAGTAACAAATACGTGAATTATTTTTTTATAAATATGAAAAATATACTATTCACAGACTGAAATACTCGTGGAATCGTATGATATCAAGTTAATAGATTGTCTTTGATTTAATCAACATAAAAGTACATATGAGTACATGAAAAATCTCTTTTTTTAGTATTTTGTTTAGGTTTATGATCTACTTGTATAAATATCTAGATATATTATGCTATAAAGATATGATAATGTTTCACCTCTTCGGTACTAATGGGGAGTTTTTAAATTATTAACATCGTATTTTATTTTAATGTTAAAACAAGTCAATAAAATAAAATTAATTACAAATTTTAATATGGACCATATAAATATCTAACGCACATGCTATTATGCAAAATATATTAAACTAATGAGTTGTGTAAATAAAAATTATTTGCTGGGAACCGGTACCAGAAAAAATATAATTTGGTGAAAACCAGGGCTTAAATTAAAATAATATGTGTTGTTTATCGTTATGAGTCATTTAAACGTTATAAATAGTTGAGCGTATAACGTTATAATTCAAACATTATTCAATTGTAGCGTTTAAACGTTATGAACAGTTTAGTGTTTTACGTTTAGCGTTTTGCGTTATTTAAATTAGTGTAAAATTTGAAACGTTTTCAAATGTAGTATTTAGCAAATAATACTATGTAAAATAACATTACATATTTTAAATATTATATTATATATATTACCTTTAACCAGTGGTGCATTGGTAAATATAATTGTGGATAAGCCCCCTAAAAAAAATATGGGTATTAATCTTAAAATAAATTTTCTCACTTCACTTAACAATTTTTTTCTCTCGATACGTTCGAAAAAAATGTAAATTAATCGCTTGTAACTACATGTTTGTAATTTATATTAATACTATAAAACATAACACCAGAAGATATACATTAGCAGCGTGTTATAAATTGCATGATGCAAATTTAAGAACCATGGGCTGAATGTCCACACTCCGTACTATTTTATTTAATGTTATTCACTACATTTAACAAAATACATTAAACATAACGTACACTGTAATCTTCAACAGATAAATATTTCAATCAATTTCATAGTTTATAACAATTTTTTCCAATGAACTATTAAATTATTATTATTATTATTTGTTTTCGAGTTATTTTAGAAGCGTATACCCGTAAAATAATATTTTCATTAGGAATACGCCGAAAATCGAAAATCTGCTGATGGGTATACGCCGTATACCCGTGTATTCATACCAAACACCCATGCCTTTAACGATATTTTCTTTTTGTAATTTCTAACCTAACACGTAACTTATAAATAAAGCAATCATATTTGTTGTACAACAATAAAATGCAAATACCACGTAAATATTGTATGTATTGTCAATTTATAACTTAAGTATGATGTATTACTAATGTTTCATCGGTGTTCACTGAAATTATTTTTGATGAGGCAGACTATATGAGTTCCGCGCCGACAACATCCGACGTAATTTCAGAAACCATATTTATAAATTATAATTGGTAATGTTTATTTATATTTTATTAGTTGATAAATTTATTGCTGTTTTAAACATCCATTTATATTAAAAATAATTATTATTATATTATTATTATATATATAATTATCTAAATAAAATAAATTTTATTTTATTTAGATTACCTAGTAATTTAAGTCAATTTTGCAAAAATAACAATGTTTCCTTGGCGATTTCTTTTAGGTTTCAATCGTTAATCGTTTTCTGTTATGTTATTCGATATTAATTTTAATCGTTTTTCGTTTACCGATATGTTATCTGTTATCCCTTTTCATCGTTAATCGTTTACCGATATGTTATCTGTTATCGATTTCAATCGTTTTTTAATAGTTTAACGTTGTACTTATAACGTTATAAAAATGTTTTGGTGCCCTGCTGGAAACAGGTATTGGCGGAAAATAGAAAGATACACTCTTGGTCAAAACGTATACCATCCACATAAACACTAATGTTTTTTTGATCATTCACTAATAAGATTTTTAATTTATAAATGTTGGTTCCTAATTTTATCACTTATCATCTTTTATAATGTTAATAGTATGGAGTGTTATAATAATCGTTACAGATAATTATAATTTTCCTCTCTTCACAATTTTATACTATTCTGAACAACTATGACATTTAGTCCATACATTTTATGATGATTTAATAATGTGACTAATATCTTAAACAATATTTTAGAAATATTTTAAAATTCACTTTGCTTCTTCTTGGGTTTCACCTAGTTAATTTCCATTGTTATCTTCATCTTTATCCGTTTCAATCAAATAATTAGACATACCAGGATACAGTTATTATTGGATCACATTAGAAAATAGACCTGAAATATTTTTCAGGATTTATATTTTAGTCACAATATTAAATTATTTTTGAAACGATATCGACCAGATGTCATTTTATTAAGAATAATATAATATAGTAAAAAAGTACATTTAACTTAAACAATTATTATATTATAAATGTATATTATCAACATTATAAAAAGTGATAAGCGATAAAACCATATGTTTGTTGCTTGGTAAACCAATTTTAAATAGTGTAAATTATACCCCAAAAAAAATATTTATCCCTTACTTTGGCAACATTTCTATCCGTAAATGTTGCTTTTACTGAAATGTATAAACCAGTGGTTCTTAACCGGTGTTCCGTGGACTTCGTATAAGTGTTCCGCCAAAATTTTAAAATCAGTGAAAAAAAAATTTCTTTCAAAAATAGAATCATTTTAGGTTTTGTTGGTTTATTTTTGTACACAAAAACGTTATCGTTAACTTTCGAATAATATAATGTGTCAGTATACTACTATACTATATAATATATTAATATACATTATTATTATTATATTATACGATAATCTCCACCATACTGCGATAACATACGTATAGATATTGACAATTTTATTTTCTGCACTAATAAAAGTTATAAAATACATTAGTATTAGTACGTTGCCCACGGTTATCAACGTTAGACGCGTGTACAACTTCATAAATAAGGATTCTGTTATTTTTTTAAGTAAGTACAATTTGAAATTAATTTAGTTAATTAATTTAATTTGTAACGACCATTTTAATATCAAAATGGACAAATTTCTTAAACGGAAACATGATTCTGGTACTGATAGTGTAAGTACAAATACAAGCAATGTCAATGATGAGAATAAAATAAAAAAGGTCAATAGACAATATTGCAACGATTATTTAAATTTTGGGTTCACTTATGTTGATGAAAATGATTTCCAAATTCCCCTTTGTGTGGTTTGTGGGGAAAAGTTGTCTAATAGCGCAATGGCGCCAGCGAAATTAAAACGGCATTTTTCATCTAAGCACGCCAATCTCCAGTCTAAAGAAAAAAATTATTTTGAAAGGTTGTTGAATAATCAAATGAATCAAAGAAAACATTTTAAAAAAATTGTAACAATATCTGATAAAGCACAAATCGCATCTTATAAAGTTGCCGAAATAATTGCAAAACAGTTAAAACCACACACCATTGCAGAGAGTTTGATTTTACCGGCATGTTCAGAAATAGTTCAAATTATGTTTGGCGATGATGCAAAAAAAGAAATTATGAAAATTCCGCATTCAGACGATACAATAAAAAACAGAATTATACACATGTCAGATGATATTGAGAAAACTGTCACTAACAAGCTTACTACTAATAAACTATATTTCGCTTTGCAAATTGACGAGTCTACTGATATCAGTGGTATAGCTCACGTACTAGGATTTGTTCGTTTCATTGATGAAAATAAAATAGTGAATCAATTTTTATGCTGTAAACAACTTACTGAACGTACAACAGGACAGAATGTTTTTGATTCAATTTCATCATATTTAGATAAATTTAACATAACATGGGACCAATGTGTAGGAATCTGCACCGATGGAGCTCCTTCAATGGTTGGTTCTATTAAAGGATTTACAACATTAGCGAAGAAAAAAAAATCCTAATATCATATCTATACATTGTTTTTTTACACCGAGAATCACTTATTTCGAAAACATTACCTATTACATTAAAGTCTGTATTGGATAAAATTGTAAGCATGGTTAACTACATAAAATCGCGTCCATTACAATCACGCCTATTTAAAAAACTGTGTGAATCAATGGAAGCTCAGCACGTATGTTTACTTTTACATTGTGAAGTAAGATGGTTATCGCGAGGTAAAGTTCTAAATCGAATTCTGGAACTTAAGAATGAATTGTTAATGTTTTTTCAAAACGAAGGTAACACTGTTTTTATATCTTTTCTTACAGACGATATTTGGTGTGTTAAAATGGCATATTTAGCTGATATTTTTAATTATTTAAATAGCGTAAATGCTGGTATGCAAGGTAAAAACGAAAATATTCTTACATCCACGGATAAACTATTAACATTTAAAAAAAATATATCTTTTTGGAGAACGCGTATAATTCAAAAAAATACGGTAGACATGTTTCCTTCAATTAAAAATAATAATGAAATAATTCCTATTATAACAGAACATTTAGCATTATTAGAAGAAAAAATCACGAAATACTTTCCTGAATTAAATATTGAAAAGTATGATTGGATACGAAATCCATTTTCTACCATCAACACGTCAAGTTATGAATTTACGTTAGAAGAAGAGGAAGAATTCATAATGCTAACAACAGATCGAACTCTAAAAATAAAATTTTCCGAAATAACAGTAGAAGAATTTTGGATTTCAGTTCAAACCGAATTTAAAAAAATTTCTGAAAAAGCAATTTCAATATTATTACAATTTTCAACCTCATACTTATGTGAGCTTGGATTTTCAACACTGACGAATATCAAAACAAAGAAACGAGAAAGGCTGACAAATATTGAAGAGGAAATGAGAGTAGCAATATCGTACATACGGCCAGATATTGAAAATATCTGTAAAAATCATCAGGCACAAATATCTCATACAAAGTATTCAATTTCAAATTTTTAAATTTTTTTTAACTCTTTTTATTATTTTATTATTTTTTAGTGACTAACACTAACATGTATGGCATGCAAACAATTTTATGCTATACATTTATTGTTTAATATATTAAAAAATTAAAAATGTATGTACTACTATTTTATTTTACGGTTGTGTTCCGCGAAAATCTTGTAAAATGTTAAGTGTTCCGTCATTCGAAAAAGGTTAAGAACCACTGGTATAAACTAAATATTTCATAACTTATTACTAAATGGTTAGAATCACACTAATTCATAACTGATCGAATGATTCAAGTGTCGGTTGTTTCTCAGTGAACACTATGTCGCTTAGTTTTTTTTGTTATTCACCAGTTGGTATACCTATATGTTTATATTATTTATTTATTTTTTCGTATATAAAAAACTAAATAACTTTAAATATTCGCAATGATTAGAATTAAAAAATTAATTTGGTACATTTTCGGTGAGCTAAAATCCATTAAAATCCATGATAAATAATTTCAAAAGCAGCTTTTGTTTCAGGAACTTTATTTCGCCAAATTTTTGAAAACAGGGAAATACTGATATTTCCATATAATTATAAAATAATAATATAAAACTAAATCGTTTAATAGATATTTATTTTGTAAAATATATTGGTTTTAATGAAAATGTCATGATTCGATAAAAAAAAATTCTATAATAAAGGTTCGACTGTTAAAAAAAGGATACTTGATGACCTATTTCAGTGAATTCACTTTTGATGTACTTAGTACTTAAAGTTTAATCATTTGAATATATTTTATCTGTCACATAATTAGTATACAATGCATAAAAATATTTAAGACATAGGTATATTGAGGTTAAATTTAGTGATTATTATTATATAGTTTGCCAGATAATTATCGATGCATAAATTAACTTTTATTACATACCTAATACTATTAAATTTTAAAGTAATAGGAAACTTCATGATTAAATTTATACAGAAACACAAAATTTAATAAAGTATGATAACAATTTTTCATGTGATAAGAATGTGCTTAGTGTCTTATAACCAAGACATGATAAATAAATTACATCGAAAATAAAAGTTTTAATTTTGCAAGATTTAAGTTTTTTTTGCTATCATTAATAAATATTTAAAATGCATAAGTTGGAGAGTAAATTATATACAATAATAATAACACAAATCTATTTAAACTTATTTAATTATTAATCATGTATCTTAATTGTTCTTTATAATTATACAATTAATTTTTTTTATATAGCAAGGACAAACTGCTTTGTCCATTTCTCAAAAGTTGGGTTATATAAGTGTCGTAGAGGCTTTGAAAAATGTTACAAAAGCTGCACCTTCGTCGACTTTAGATGAAAAATACAAAGTTATTTCTCCAGAAACTATGCAAGAAACATTTATGTCAGACTCAGAAGACGAAGGTGGTACGTAAAAACATTTTTGGTTATAATATATAGTACTATATTATTTGAGACATTCTTGCGAGAGATTTGAACAGGTTATGTAATTAAGTATTCAAATACGATAATATAATAATCAAATACCTAATCAAATTTCACCGTAGAAAAGTGCTGCAAATAATAAAATGAAAAAAAAAATGCTTTTATTCTGAGAAAATATGTCTAATATAACCATTGCACACAATATACACTAATGAATAATATTAGGATGTATAGAAAGTGAACTAGTCCAGGGAAATAAACATAAGTCTGACAAATCAAGATGATGAGAGCAATATTTATCGAGATTAAGTTTGACTTATTATAAGTTGAATGAATTATAATATTAACTTATCACAGAACTTGCACATTTTGTAGTACATCTTATTATTATATAATAATAAGTATTATCTTATACCTACGAAGGTCTTAATTAAATCAAATTTTAAAAATTTTTAGATTGACAAAAAAATTAACTAAGTAAATTTAGATTTCATATCGATTAATGAATTTATTAATATTTATTATATTTAAGTAGAATAGTTATTTAATAACAACTAAAACAAAGTTGAATTGAAATTTTTTAATTTGCAGAACCAATTAATATATATTATTTAAAATATGAATTTGAACATTTTTTTGCAATACCACTTAATTCGATCAAAACTTTACTTCAAGTTTTTTTTTTAAATTATTGGCTATATAACTACATAATTCAATGCACTTTAAGCAGTAGTTATAATACGGTATAGTTACCATATAATATAATGTTTTAAATTCATAATATACAAATTCCACATTTGTCGATTATTTAACGATTAAATTAGATATATTTTACAAATATATTATTGATCAACAAATAAATGAAATTGATAAAAGTCATCCATAGGTAAATTAACTACACACACAAGCAATATTTCGTTGATTCGCTATTTGCAACGAATTCATGTCACCAAAACATAAATTTATACAGCACAATACAATATTATTAGAGTGTTCTCGCTTCCATACTTATAGTGTTGCGCAAGCGTGGTTTTACTAACAAATGCTTGTAGTATGTGATTGGGATGATGATTGGCACACAGGTGACGTTTTGCAAAGCGGAAGCGTCGAGTATGGTCTCAACACTAGAACTCAACTAACACAAAATGTTACCATTTCGTCACGTGAGTTTTGTAGAGTAGAATAAAGAATAAAAATAATAAATAAACAGAATTTGGACCTATGGTATTATCGAGTCTTAGTCAACATGCATGAATTAATAGCCAAGTTCAAAATTCATGATTGGCCACCACCCAACAGCCTCATAGACTGTCACGGTCCATTCGGAATATATTGAACGCGGGTCGTACAGAAAACGAAATCGTTTCACGGACCCACTACCCGGCCAGCCCGCGGTGTCAATATATTATGAATACGACTTAGAATACCCATCAGTGTGCTTCCATCATCATCAAAGCTTTTAGTGTTGAAAAATGAATAAAATTACTTCTGCTCAATACTATAACTACTACATAGTATACAGAGTGTACAATGTATATTTACCAATTGCTGTGTTAATATTTTTTGTGTTAAAAAAGATAATACAATTTTATTTATTTATTTCGATGACTTTACACAAATCAACTCTTTTCAAACAATATCAAAAAAAATTATAAAATTACAAAATAATAGTATTAACAACTGATACATAAAATATAATATAGTAGTTTAACTTAAATAGAAACATAATAAAAAGTAAAGGAAGTAAGAAAATCGCAAATATAGGATAAAGAGTCCTTAAGATATTCATAGGCATATGTCGAGATTTATAATCCCATTTATTGCTTCCGGAGTTACCATATGTATGCCTTCAAACTCTTGGTAGAATTTTCTTTCCTGGCATTCCATCACGATGTGATTCATGGTTTGATCTCCCTTGCCACGGTTGCAGATTGGGTTGTCTTGGAACACCCATTTGTGTAGAAGAGTGCCGCATCGGCCATGACCAGTTTGAAGTCTGTTTAATGTAGACCAGGGGCTACGAGGAAGATTCATCCCTAGGACTCATTCATTAGGGTTAGGTACCTACTAGCTTCCGGCTTGGTGCAGAGAAATTTTAGTTTACTACTACTAAGTGCACGCAGTGGCGCACGCAGGGAGAAGGGTTAAGGGGTTGTAACCCCCCGAAATTTTCTCCGATGTCTAGGTTAAGATTTACAAATTTTACAAGTTTGAAGTATGAAGAGCTAGTATTGAATACCTAGTATCATTGATTATAGAATAGTCTATTCTATTACTTATGCTATTATTTACATCAAAATATATTAAGGATTTGCATAATTTTTTTAATTGTAAAATGTGTTATATTTTTACCTTGACCCCC